TCCAACCTAAATGATTCTATGATTTGTTGTATGAGACCAGTAAAACATCTTAGTGAAGATAGGCAAGCATGTTAGCTTCAGTTTTCATTGTTTCAAGTGTACTAAAAATACAGTTCTCAGTCATCTCCGAAGTAAAAGGGTGGATTTAAAACCTGTTAGTAAAAGTATCTATTTTTTCCTCTTTGGTGATTACCTTCTGATTTAAATGAGATTCATAAACGCTGGGAAGTGATAAGAGGCTATTGTTTTGTCTTGCATTTATTCATAGGGACTGAACTTAATTGACAGAAGAGTTCAGGGATGGGTTTTAGGAGGATTGGGTTGGAGATAAACAGTACAAAGTTGGTTTTGGAATTCTTCTGTAACAGTTTTCTGTCTTTTAATAAATTAAGAGTTGGCAAGTTATCTATCATGTCAGGAGTCACTGTTCCAAATCCTCCTGTTTCTTTCTAACTTATAATAATTGAAAATCAAATTCCTTCCTAGTACTGCCTCGCCACTTTTTACTCTATTTAAAGAACTGTCATCTGCTCTTTAAATTTAAAAACTTGTAGCAGTTCTCGAACAAGTCTCTTCTGCTAATTAGATGAGGATCACTGAGCACATTCCTTAGCTCTGAAGGAGAGACTTAAATCTCAGGGGAGGGGTGCCCATCTAGTGTTATTCTCTGAAATCCATTCTGCCAGAGGGATTGCAAGCCAAATAAATCTGGAAAAAAGAATGCAATCAGATAAACTAATAATAAAAGGGCTGACAAAGTAACAGTAGCTTGCTGATGGCTTTCTTCATCATGTCTTGTGCATATATTTTTGCAGAGGCAGGCTGTATTGATGAGGTTCATAGCTTGGGAAAGAACATGGCTTCAGCTTAGATCTTTCTTTATGAGGAAAGCTTTGGAGAAGTGCATAGTTCACTCTTGAAAGTGTGAAGCCAGGTTTGTCTTGCCAAAATGTGGATTTGGATCATCTTGATTGCAAGAGTGTATCTGGGAAAGCTTTGTGTCATGATCTGCCTTGATTCTGTATGAATTCTATATGTATCGATGAAGGAGAACAGGGAATGAGAAATGTTAGTTATCTGCAGGTTTCACACTTAAGCTGTGGAAGAGGGAGCCTGAGAGTCTATGGTAGCTTTGCTGTTTTTGTGAAGCAGAAGTTGAGAACCATGTGTTCAGTCCTGAAGAATGTGGTTTTTTTTCTGTTTCCTCCTGCTCCTCGATCTTATGCAGGCTTTCCTTTCAACTGAGTACTGTTACATGTTCTGAATAATTGTAATATGTTTGAATAATGTTGACTGGGGTGAGGATCAGAGGGTGTCTAAGCTTTGCTAGATGTCAAGTTGTATTTCAATGCAGGCTTCTGTGTTGGGAGCTGAATGCAGAATAATAAAAACACTGTACAGCTTGAAATGACCATGCGTGTTGTAAAGTGCCTAAATGTAAAACACTGAATGAAAAAGGTTGGACTATGTAAATCAGTTATAAACATACAGAGTGTTATGAGGGAGCAAGATGATCTTGCTCTTCATCTCTCACCTAGGAAAGTGTCATCTGGCAACTGGTCACAGCACGGACAATTTTACATTCCTGCACAGCTTTATTCTAGCCTAGTTGGCAAGAAGAATCGGATTTTTTTTTTTTTTTTTTTTTTTTCCCGGGTGTTTCTCTTCCTCCCCTCCCCCTTCCCCTCGCCTTTTATGTAATGAGATGCTTTGCCATGCTGTGAATGAGCTCCAGAGTAATTGAAAAAGGAGTTCCTGGGCAGGTTGGTTCTGGCAGGGTAGATTTCTCACTTCCTTTGTAGCTCATTCTGGAGCTGTATTTGTTTTTTTCATTGTGTGCTTCTTGTAGCTTCAGGTCCAGTATGATTGATATGATCAAGGGCCAGTATTCAAGAGGACGAATAGCTTTTAAGCTTGTGGTCTAGCCTTGGGGAGAGGACTCTAGGATTAGTCTCCTAGATAAATCTAGGATTCTAGTAGACTAATCTCTTTGCCTTCATTTGTCAGAATGATCCCTACCAAAGCTAAAGGACGGTGGGTTCCCACGGGGGGGGGGCTTCATTGCAGGCAGTGATTGTGCCTCTAGACTCATCTGTGATAAACTTGTGGCCTACTCTTTCACCCACATTGTGTTTTGGAGCCATTCTTATTGAACTGTTGTTTTTTGTTTGGCTTGTAAATAAGTAATGGCTACTACAGTAGAGAGATTTAACAAAGGTACTTATGTGTGTGTTAAACTTGAGGTCTGGTTGCTGCTTTCTAGTTTATGAGCTGGCAAGTGAAAACGCTGGATTTTGTTGTTATTTTTGTTCTAGCTGGATTATAGTATGAGTTTAATCTCATCTATAGGAGGAAAATCTATGTATCAAGTTCCAACTTGCCCAGAAACAATGTTAATATGGCTTCTAATATAGAGCAGTGAAGAGGCCTGTAAGATTTCTATAGCAGTTGCCATTTAGCTGTAGGTACTGAACCTCTAAATATTAGGAGAATGGTCCAAATGCTGTAATGATATAGTTTATTGCTGGCGGAGTTGTGACGCAGTTGTTCCTTTGAATGGGTGTGGCAAAAATGTAAAAAAATGTTTGTGTACTGATAAGCAGGCTGCTTGCAGAAAGGAAAGGCATACTGCTAAAAGTAGGCTGCAGCCCATAAATGTTTTTTTCCATATTCCTGTTAGATGTGGCTTTTGTAATTTCTCTGCAGATTATTTTTTTCAAACCAGTTCATGAAATGGAGAGATTACAAATGGTCTTTGGCAATGATCAATTTCTATTTATTATTTAGGTATTCTATCTTTTGACTTCTAATTCAGGTGTACAGGCAGCTATTTCATGGAAGTGGGTTAATTACCCATTCAGCAGTCACTTGTCCTGCAAATTTCAACAAAGGAAGATGAAATTTGTTTTGAAAGATCAGAGTTTGAACACTTTGGGATATCAAAACCTGTTGATTTCTTGAGCTCACTTCTGTCTCCCTCTAAGAATGTCCATCCTTCTAGCTATAGAACTTTGAGCCACTGATGTCTTTCTCAAATCACAGTAAAGACATAGCCCTGAAATTTGTGCCCCCCTAGCTCCTTAATTCCCTGACTGGTTTGGTGGGCCATGCTTCTTAGGGGGGGGAGCAGACTGAAGGGTGGGCTGCTGCATGCAGCGGTTTGAGGATTTGTGTAAAAGATGGGTAGAAGATACTGATAGGCAGAATGGAAGCTAAGTGGAACTAAAAACTTCTTCGTGTAAATTTTTTTTTTCACTACCTGGGCCAAAGAGCTAGTCTTTGGGAGGTGTGTTGTTATTCTCTCATTTTGCTTATTTATTCTGTTTCCTAAGCTGTTCATGTGGTGCTACCAAAGTAAAAAGAGTGGCTGAGAATAGAAGTGAGTTCAGGGATTTCCATTTTCAGCACAACATAAAATTGACAGCTTGCATAGGCCACAGGTCAGAGATGGTTTGAAGAGGAAGGTGATTGTTTCCTTAAAAACCTAAGAATGGGTTGGTTTGAATGCTGATTTTCAAGTTTTGATAGTCATGTGAATTTTCAGTCAGCTTGGCTTAGAATCATAGAATCACTGTGGTTGGAAAGCACCAACGTTGGGTGACCTGATGAAAACATAGCCACGTGTGGGGGTTTTTTTGTTTATTTTTGCTTTTTTGTACTGAAGTTTTCCAGGTTCTCACTAAAAATGAGTCTTGGTCTTGTCAGATAAGGGAGATACTTCATAAAGGGTGTAACAGAGGTCAGGTCCCATTTAAGGACTGCAAAGCTCATCTTGTTTTTGCTGTCTACTGTGCAGAAAAGCTTGATAATATGAAAGCTTGATACTTTATGAAGTTAAATTGGTTTGTTGTTAAAATAATTCTTCAGTACGTATGATACAATTCCAGTCAATATAATAAGTATCTACTGTCCTGATATCTGAGTCTTGAACAGGACTGGAGCATCATCAGTTTAGTTAGATGTGAAAGTCACTGAGAAGCAAGAGTGTGTGTACAAGATGGAGAAAAAAAGATGTCTGTAGGTTCCACCCTTGTTTTGGACCTCTGCAGGTTCATTTCTTTATGATTCTTCACAAGTAATAGTGAATCTGGACGTGTGCCTTCATTAACTTCAAACTATTTAAATTTTTATGTTTATACACGCACATACGCCTGTGGCATTGTTTGTATGAGTAACTTTAATTATAATAGTGTTTCTGAATAAAATTAGTCACGGAAGGTGAGGAGGAGCTCCATGAATTTAAGTCTGTCACTATCTGTGGTATATGTTGAATATATATATTGTTATATAATAGAATACGCATGACATATAATGAATGTGTGTGTGTATGTCATATCTGAAACTACATGCAGATAGTATGTGGAAAGATACTCAACTAAGAAGGATGTATCTGTTAAGGTGTTGCTTTAAGAAGACCTGTAGCCAGGTTTACCAGTCTTATTCCCTCTTAATTTCAATTTTTTTGTGAGTATGAGCAGAGGAAAAACTTAGAGGTACATTATTACCTGAGAATATTACCTGAATGGATTGATTACCTATGATTTCAATGTGTTCAACCCAGATGCGGTATTTTGTAAGAATCAAGACAAATGCTGAAAATAGATTAAATGTCTTAACTTTCAATCTGCTTTTCTTTTATTGACTTTCAAGTGTCTTTTTTACTCATTGTGTTTCAGGTATTCATTCTTCAGATAATAAAAGGTGTCTTGGAGATTTTACAGATAATAAAGTAGGCCTCATAATTGCTCCTTTATTTTATTGTAGCCATAACTCAGACATTGCAGACAGTGCAACTTAAGAGAAATGGTGCAGTGTGTGCTGGCTTCAGCAACAAAGTTGGCATGTGTTTCTGATCTGGCATTTTAATGCTAATCTAATGGAGGCTGCACAAGAAATTAATTACTGGGGTGGCTTTTTGGTGGTGGGTTGTTTTGAGGTTTGTTTTATTTGAAAAGTTTTGGTATAACATAGCCTCCATCTTTTCCTCAGCCTTTCCATAAGATAGCTATTTTCATTGTAGTTTACCTTTGACTTCTCCCTGGCTATGAAGATCAGGTTTTTGTTTTAGTGAGCAATTGCTTGAAATGATGGCATTTTAAACGCATGGGTAATTGTGATGGCTTCCAAAGATACCAGTCAGTATTAGGGTGCTGTAGTAGTGGATACTTGAAAAACCTAAGAGTAGACACTCTAGTCTTCTCTTGCCACCCTTTTTAAAATCTTTTGAGCTAATTATTACCTCTTTATCTAATGTGTATTTGAGTAGTGTCTCTCAATGTAGCCAAGCTATTCTGTAGTACTGGTATAATTTTAAGGAAACTTCTGTTCCAAATAAAGCCTGGGACGTGCTTGAAAAATCCGGATAGTTTAACAGCATTTCTGGGTCAGTTTTAAAAATACTGTTAAGCCAACAGGATGTATATTCTCACATCGACAGACTACTTAGAAATCTTACAAGACTGTGCGAAATTACTTGCTTTTGGAGGCCTAGAGGATCCTAGTTTTGATTTTGTTAGATACAAGACATTAGTTCAGTCTCTGTCCAAGATTCTTTGAAGCTTTGGGTTTTAATCCAGTTGTACTCATTACCCTTTAATGGAATTATTAATAAACTGTTGTAGAAATCCTGTTTCTGTAAAAACTGTCCTGCACTAGCAGATGCTGGAGCAGTCTAACATTGCTGCTTCTTATTTGGTGTATGTCCTTAGATATCTGTAAGATCTGGGAAGTTAGTTATTTGGTGTGCTGTGACATTGTTTCGAAGGAAGAACTCGGAATTTGGAGGGCAGATACGTGAAAGGATCAGAGGTGGGAAGGTGAGTCAGCTGCTCAGTCTTGTAGCAGAATGCAGCCAGGACATTGCTGTGTGGCTGTTTATTGAACTCAGAAGAGAATGCTTATATAAAGTGCATTGGCAAAATACTTGATGCAACTACCACAGGTATGCTGGCAAAAATGATGCCATAGTGTTTTTATTTTGGGGCATCTAAGCATGTGATTGGACTAGCTGACCTCCTGAGGTCCCCTCCAAGCCAAATTGTGCTGATTCTGTATGTGTACATATATACCTGTGTGAACAGACAGAGTAATGGCACGTGGTTGTGTGGGGGAGGAGAGGGTTTACTGAACACTGGCGCAGGCAGTATAGCTGCACTGGGCTGCTGAGCGTGGACTTCCTAAACTATGCAGAGGGCTTGTGGCGTCATGTGCTCACCGGTGGGGATTCAAGTTGGCATGTGAATGTGCCGGTGCTTGTCCTACTACTTGTTGCTTTTATCTGTGGAAATGGGCTTGGAGGGGAGGAGCAACAGATTCTCTCCCTGATTAGTCCCCCTTATAGGTGTTCCTTCAGAGAGGTGGTACCGGAGTCCTTGCACTGTCTACTGCATCGTTACCATCTGCTGTCCAACAGACATGACTCCCCTTGGAAACCAGTTTTTATTTTGAAAACCCCAGTTATTCATGTAGGCAACTTTCAAAGCTTCTAAACCCTTTTTCTGGTCAAAGAAAGATCTGTGAAAGAACAGGAAATAACAATTGGTTGTTTTGGGAGTGTTGATAGTGTTAGAAACCCTAATTTCTTAATTTTTATCAAGAAGCTTAGCTGGCAGAAGTATATTGGTATATTTTTGGGGATGTGTATACACACATCCACATTTCAATTTATATAAAATATATCTCCATCTTTTTCTATACCAGAAAGGTGGGCATTACTGCCTTATATAAATTTACCTTTGTTTAAAAAGTAGTCCTTTAAAGTTTTGATGTTGATTTTTTTTTTTTTTAATCAGTCGTAGAAAAACATTCCTGTAGAATAGTAGCCTGAAAGACAAGGAAATTAAGAAAAGCAAATCTGTTTCAAAATGCAGTCTTTGTTCTAAGGCCATGTTTTCTGTGGGTAGTGTTCTAAGTTTGAAGCCTTTCCAAAGGACATTACCTCAATATTAGCCATAGTTGGTCAGAAATATTTGCCGTTATCCTGGAGTGTCCTACAGTCCTTTGTCAGCCTTGGTGAATAAAAGAAGCTGTAAAGCTGACTTTGCTTTGTGTGAGAGCACTTTCTCAGAATAGAAGGATGTGACTCTTTTCTCTAGCAGTCCCACACAGTTTGTTCTCCTCTGATGTCTCTGTTCCACCTCTCACTTTCAGGGATGTACATGGAGTTCTGTGGTGTCAGAAAGTCCAGCCGTGCCCGATCTCTCCCTAAACTCCAGCACTCCCATGTAATGGCATTAGGAGTTGGTGGAAGTTAAAATAGCCTTCAAAGCTCTGATTCACCTGAAGTAGCCTGGGGGAGAGAGTTTGGAGGCCTGGTGTGTTTTATTGATGACCGCTAAGTGAGTGTGTAGGATTGAGTGATCTGTGTTTCCACTTGAGAGCCCAGAGAAATTTTCTGCTTTAGGTTTCTCCCCAAGCAAAACCCAAGTCTTGCCCTTTCTGTTCATCAAACATTTGTGAAGGGGTGGATTAGATGACAGTGTTTGTAATTAAATGGCTTTTCTCTTTATCTGTCTGGGAGTGTTAAATGGGTTTCATCTCAAATCAGCAATAGCTATTAGTTAGACTACATGATTCTCGGAATCTCAGGCTCCAAGTATGTCTCAAAATGAAGCTAGTTTTTTCAGAGATGTGTAATTTAGGATTAAGGAAAAGTTTTGCTAATCCTCTCTCTTAACTGTTGTTTTTTGGGGATGTGTGTATTGTAAACAGAAGGCTATCAGTTAATTACTCCTTATTGCAACTAAGGCAGTTTAGGAACACATTGGATTGCTAGCTAAATAATAATTCAGCATCTTAACTAGCAGCAGGGAAAGGCTGGGTGGCAGATGCTGCTGCTTTTGCCACATCTGTCCTTACAATAATTTTTTAAAACACATCTTAAAATTTAAAATTCAGATTTTTTTTAAAAAAAAATACTTTTTTGCTTGTTTTACCAATAAAGAGATGACAGGAGCTCACACAGTAGTGTATGGCAGTATGGCTGTCTATGCAGTTTAAAGATTTACTGTTGAGGGCTTTTTTTTGTTCTAAAAGCTTGATGAGCACCTGAAGCCTTCAGTCATTTTCTTTGCCAGTGCAATATTAGTTGTCCCAGATTTCAGAGCAAATAGCACTCATCCTCTCTTTTTTCATTTGCTTTATGTATTTGTTCATCTTTTAGGTCTTTTACTGGATCTATCAACAGAAGAAAATACAAAATTTTTTGCTTAATTATTTCTCTGAAGGTGAGGTTTTTTGTTTTCTTTTAATGGAGCACAGTAGCCACAAGCTCATTGTAGACAAAGGGGGAACTCCTCATGCTTGCTTTAATGTGCTGCTGAGGAATAGCAATATGTCTTGTGTATTTGCAAAATCTAAATATCTGACTCCATAGATCAGCATGAATCTGCCATATTACTCCATGTTCCCTCCACTTGTGACAGCACAAATGACAGCTTGGTATCTGTGTGAGCAGTAAACTGATTCCACTGAAAATAAACCTGACAAATCATATGGTTAAATCTTAGCTAAATCTGTTTGCTGATTCATCTCACCATATTGTGGAATAATTCTGTTCTGGTAGAAGGGAAGAAGCAACAGGAAGGGACAAGTAAGGAAATGAGACAGTCCATTTTGGACTGGATTAAAGGAGTGTTGTGGGTTTTTTTCCCTTGTAAAGTCTTCTGCATCTATTTGCAAGAGCACCAGTGTAAAGACGTTTTCTGGAATTTCATGCTGATACTTGAGTATTTTATTGAGTAGGGTAATCTGGGCCTTGGGCTGAGGTCAGCTTTTGCCAGTTCTGAGTTTTGGAGTGTGAGAAAGATCTAAAAGTATGTCTCTCTCATTTTCAAAAGTTACTGTTGAATCAGGGGGCTCTTCTGCACAGGTATTTCTTGAGCAAAGATTGATTTATGCAATGAGTTGCCCAATTCTGACAGCAGCAGTGTGTTTTGATTTTGTTGCTCTGCAAAGCGTGAACTGTTCTCTTAGCATGTCTGTATTACCTCTTTAAAACATGTTTTTGTAAAATCTCTTATTATAATCTAAAGTTTCTTAAACTGTGGAGGAAGTCATCCTCATCCTTCAGAAGTCACTGCTGTGGGTTTTGGGTACACAAGGTTCTCTAAGCAGCTATACAGCATGCTTCGTTTTGAAGGGCAAATGAGAATTTGCTTCCTTTCTGTTTCCCATGTGACTACATAGATGGAACTGAGAAATATTTTATATTTGTATAATAATCAGTCTGCTACTCTAAAGAGTAGTTAATCAACAGAGTTCCCAAACCAGGTGTCCTCAGCAGTGCTGTGCTGCCTGGTGCTCTGCTCCCCTTTTCAAGGCCATGCTTGGTTCTGGTTGGTACCCTAGTTTCAGTACTCTGTTCCAGCCTTCTTACTCTTCTTTGAACATATCTTGGTCCCTTTTGCTCTGCTTTTTTGGTACTTTTAGCGGCCCTGAAGATACCTGGTCTTTCCAGATCTCAGCATCTGCCAGTGAATACCATGGTGGTAGCACAGTCCTCTCCCAGCTAGCACTACACTGTATTACTTGATAGGATGCTTTGGTCTCCTCGAGGCTGCTGGCCAGGTAGGAAGCCTTTTCCACCTGGGTGATGATGATGATGGTGCTTCTGTGCCAGTAATTACATTCCCCAGTCTTCTGAATTACTGCACAGATAGGATTAATATTAAGAACAGCTCTATTCTTTTATTTTAAAGGCTTGTTACATGGGGAAGTGGAAGGAGGTTTGTACCTGACTCCCTCCATGGTGAGGCTCGTTTATCTTTGACATAGTTGCATAATGTATCTTCTATAACAAACAGCTGATTTGGAGGTCGGTGTGCAGGAAGTAGGTTTATCTGATGCAAGCCTTCTGGTGATGAGAAATCTGGATGATGTGCTTCTTGGGAAGTAATGAGGAAGTACTTGGAAGTAAATTAAGTAACTTGTGTATCTTCCCCACCACCCCCTTCTTTTTTGTTTCTAGAACCATAGAGCAGACCCAGAAGAGCTATTCACAAAACTGGAACGCATTGGGAAAGGCTCCTTTGGTGAAGTCTTTAAAGGAATTGATAATCGGACACAGCAAGTGGTTGCTATAAAAATCATAGACCTTGAGGAAGCAGAAGATGAAATAGAAGATATACAACAAGAGATAACAGTTTTAAGTCAGTGTGATAGTCCTTATGTAACAAAATACTACGGATCGTATTTAAAGGTAATGTATAATATTGGACAAAGATTTGCTCCTGCCCAGTTGTTTTGAATGCAGCTAGGAAAACATTCTAAAACTGAGTAAGAGTTGTTATACCCATTTGAGCTTTTTTTTTAGTAGGTTTTTTATTTTCTTTGAACAGAGCTTTTTCACTTTGTTTTGTTCCTTCGTTGCTTGCTCTTTGAGGCTTAATTTTGCATAGAATGGCTAGAGAATGGGCAGTGTTAATAGAGGATTGCTCTTGCCATTGTTATTGCTTTTGGACCTTGGTTTTCTCTCATCCCTCCACAATTGCTAGTACAATTTTGTGGCTTTTCTGGGAAATAAAAAAATACCTTTGTAGCTACAGAAATAAAAACCTTTCTCAGATACAGGAAGATACTCTCACTGTGTAGACATGTATTGGTAACTATGCAGTGTAGTTAGGCCTGAGACAGAGTAAAACTGACATCAGCAGAGTTACATAATCACTGTGTGAAATGTTATTTAGGGCATAATTTAAAAACAAACAAAAATGAAAACCTACAGAAATCCAAAATGCTGAGTAAGTCTTTTGAACTTGCAATATTGTGTAGGTATTGTCACCATAACTGTTTCTTAAATGATCTGTGGTGCATACATGTTTCAGACAATTTTTTTAAAAATGAAACTGTTTAATGAAAGCCAGAGTGTTAGACACAGTTAGAACTATCTTAAATGTCTGGGTTTTTTTGTCTGCTTGTGTTTGGTTTTTTTGTTGGGTTTGTTTGGTTCTGCCTTGGTTGGTGGTTTTGTGTGGGTTTTTTTTTGGTTTGGTTTGGTTTTTTGTGACTTCTGGGGGGAGGGGTTGTGTGGTTTTGTTTTGGGGTTGTGTTTTCCTCCCTATACAGGTTGTCACTGATGTCCCATCTTTCCTTGTCTTTATTGGGCTCAGTCAGTAGGATTTTTGTTTACTTTGCCATTAAGTGATAGAGCTCTGAGATGTAGCAGAGTTGACTTTCCTGCATCATAGTATATTGGAACAAGCTGGTTCTTCTCAAGATAACTTTGAATTCAGCTAGCAGTGTTCCCCTGGGGCAATGCAGAAATGGTACTGCAGATCCAGATGTGATCCCTCTTTTTTTACAATCCTTTATTCTTCTGTGTTGAGCTAAGCCTTAAATACCCTCTTGTGTAGCCATCATTTTAACTTTGTGCCGTAAAAGCCCAGTTGTTTGCCCTAAATTACAAACAGGTCAAGGTAAATCTTGGAAAGTGTTCTTGCTTGGAAAAGTGTTTTCTTGAATTTCAGATTTAAAACACTGATTTCAACCACTTTAAGTGGGGAGGGGAAACCTTGATTTGGTGGGGGTTTGGTTTGCATTTTTGTTATTTTGAAAATAATCTTTTCATTATCTACCGCAACACAGATGCTGAAAACAAAAAGGGTATTGCAAATCTGCCTCAGTACCTGTGCATCACAGCAGTTTGTCTTTCCATTTTAGTAATAACAGGTATTTTGGGAGTTGTATTTATCGACTTTTTTATTATTTAATTGCTGCAGCGTTTAACTTTTTATTAGCTATTACTCTGAGAATAGCTGTCAGCCTAAGTATTTAGCTGTGTAGTACTTAATTCAGGATTTAATTTCTCTATATACTGTAGACATCTCTTGGAAGCATTGAAATAGGTACAGTTGTGTACCAAATCACTGTGTAATTGAAAGTTAAAGAACATTAAATTAAAAAAATTAAGATGTCTTATTCCTTAAAAAGCAAAGTCCTGGGCCACAGGGTTTAGTAGCAGTTTGCTATGGATATGACTGGTACTAAGTTCACATTCAAAGTGATCCAAAAGGTTTGTTAGTGAATACTTAGTTTTATATGTAAAGATTACTGAAAATATTCCTAGAAATACCTTTAAAGATAGTGGCTAAAAAGAACATTAGCATATAGTAAAGAGAAGATTTTAAAAAAATTAAGAGGTTTTTTTTTCCTTTGCATCTTTATTTACGGGAAAGCAAAACAGCTGAGCTAGGCTACCCTCTTTCATATCATGCTTACAGAGTAGAAATAGTTTATTAAAATACTTTAATCATACCTGCATACAAGCAGCTTTCCTTGAAGCTCC